TGGGTCTACTGTTTACCCTTTTCAGTCGGCACAGTCCACCGATGGAGCAGCCTTGTTGGCACGCGAGTCTCATCGCGCTTTCGACCCTTTGAGCATACTTCGGGGCATGAAACGTGGCTACAAGGGCCACTTCTTCCTGTTCGAGCAGGGCACGTCGGAGGAAACGCTGATCGACAAGAACCCCACAGACGTCAATCCTGGCACCATGGCGGCAATTGGCGTGATGTTCGACCTCTGGAGCGACCTGCTAGGCGACCGGAACATCACCCACTTCGAAGGCTGCCGGCCATCACACGCACGGTTGCTGACTGGCGATGTGAAATGCTGCTGCCTGCGTCGGATAGGTGGTGGCTCACACGCAGAGACATCCACCGCGACGGCCCGCAATGCGCTGAGCAGTGTGTCAGCTGGGGAGCCTTGCATCAAGATTATTGATGCCAATTGTGACCATCAACATTGCGCAACAATATCTTGTTTTTCACGTTGGCTGGAGGGTATGTGCATGTTGGGGTTGAAATTCTCGATTTTGTTTTTGCCAGACCAGTTTGGTAACCATAGTTGCAAAAAGTAGGAGGCTCATCTTGTCTTGTTTTCAGATTGTCTCGAGATTATTCGCGCAAGAGATAAACTAATTTTTTGTTCTAACACTTTTTAAGTCTGCGTGAAAATCTGCATTGATCAAAACACATCTGTTTTTTCCAAAGGCTCACTTTTGTTTGTTTTTTGTAAAAAAAAACAAAACACCAGTTTTTACAAACGCTGGTGTGATTTTTCTTTGTTCAATTTTTTTCAGTTTTCAAATACGACAAACGCGGCTTTTTACTTCTTTGATTTGTTGTCATGGTGACTAGCATGTCAAACAAAACTATTTATGGATTTCAAACCTTGTGATGATCAAATCAGGAAAGAAGAAACAGTTTTTTGATTGTACCGTTTGCTTATTCTATTTGCAGTAGTAATAGTAGTGGTAGTAGTAATAGTGATAGTAGTAGTTGTAGTTGTAGTTGTAGTAGTAGTAGTACTAGTAGTAGTACTAGTACTAGTACTAGTACTCGTAGTAGTAGTAGTAGTAGTAGTAGCAGCAGCAGTAGTAGTAGTAGTAGTAGTAGCAGTAGTAGTAGCAGTAGTAGTAGTAGTAGTAGTAGTAGTGTAGTAGTAGTGGTAGCAGCAGCAGCAGCAGCAGCAGCAGCAGCAGCAGCAGCAGCAGCAGCAGCAGCAGCAGCAGCAGTAGTAGTAGTAGTAGTAGTAGTAGTAGTAGTAGTAGTAGTAGTAGTAGTAGTAGTAGTAGTAGTAGTAGTAGTAGTAGTAGTAGTAGTAGTAGTAGTAGTAGTAGTAGTAGTAGTAGTAGTAGGTGACACGCTCTTAACTGATCATGGTGTTTTCTGCTGTTTTTTGACTTTTTCTATCGTTTTCTCTGGTTTTTTCTGCGTTTGACGGGTTGGGGGGGGTGGGGGGGGTGGGTGGGGGGGGGGTAATTACGTGCTGTGCTTTGTGCACACATGACCATGCTGAGGGGTTGGGGGGGGGGGGGTGGGGGGGTAATTACGTGCTGTGCTTTGTGCACACATGGGGGTCGTGCTGGGCTTTGTGCACGCTTGACCACGCTGTCTACTGTTTTCCTCTGTTTTTTTGGTTGGTTTAGGGGCAAGATCTTTTGGGCTCACAGTGGAGGGTTTAGGGTTTGCAGGTACAGATCTTTTGGGCTTTTTTGGGAACCTTTTGGGCTTCCAGTGGAAATATGGGGTTTGGGGTTTCAGCCTACAGATCTTTTGGTTTTTTTTGGCATCTGGGGTTTAGGGTTTCAGGGCAAGACATTTTGGGCTTACAGTGGAGGGTTTAGGGTTTGGGGCTTGAGGGTAGAGACCTTTTGAGGTTTTTTGGGATTTGGGGTTTAGGGTTTAAGGGTAAGACCTTTTGGGCTCACAGTGGGGGGGTTTCGGGATCTTTTCGGCTTTTTGGGATTCACAGTGGAGGGTTTAGGGATCTTCTGGGCTTTTTTGGGATTTGGGGTTGAGGGTTTAAGGGAAGGGTTTGGGGTTGAGGCTGTAAGGTGAAAGGACTTTTGGGCTTTTTCTATGGGATTTAAGGTTTAAGGGGGTGCACTGTGGGACTGCTTTGTCATTCAGGGTACACATGGGGTTTGGGGTTTCAGGCTCCAGATGTTTTGTGTTTTTTCTGGGGACGTGCTTGACGCTGTGGGGTTGAGAGTTTAAGGGTGCACGACTCTTGGGCTTGCTTCAGGTTTCGGGGTTTCGGATTTCAGGGTGCACGACTGTTCGGCTTGCTGGAGGCGTTCGGGTTTAAGGACAAGTTTGGCCACATCTTAGAAAACCCGCGAAACGCTGTAAATGCCGGTCTTTTCCTCTGTTCTGAGAAACACGTCTGCGCAAAGTAGGCCCTGTAATTGACCGTTTTTGAAGCCCGAAAACACTGTAAATACCGATGTTTTCCTCCTGCGCCTAAAATAGTTGAAAGTAGTTTGCGGGACTTTTTACACGTCCATTTTTCGTGTCCGTAAACGGACAAAGCCAGGAAACACTGTAAATACCGAGGTTTTCGTCTCTTAACACGAAAATTGCACGCCACAAAAACCCCTGCGATCAATTAAGAACGTGACGCCTAGTAGTAGTAGTAGTAGTAGTAGTAGTAGTAGTAGTAGTAGTAGTAGTAGTAGTAGTAGTAGTAGTAGTAGTAGTAGTAGTAGTAGTAGTAGTAGTAGTAGTAGTAGTAGTAGTAGAAGTAGTAGTAGTAGTAGTAGTAGTAGTATAGTAGTAGTAGTAGTAGTAGTAGTAGTAGTAGTAGTAGTAGTAGTAGTAGTAGTAGTAGTAGTAGTAGCAGTAGTAGTAGTAGTATTTGTAGTAGTAGTAGTAGTAGTAGTAGTAGTAGTAGTAGTAGTAGTAGTAGTAGTAGTAGTAGTAGTTCGTAGCAGTAGTAGTAGTAGTAGTAGTAGTAGTAGTAGTAGTAGTAGTAGTAGTAGTAGTAGTAGTAGTAGTAGTAGTAGTAGTAGTAGTAGTAGTAGTAGTAGTAGTAGAGTAGTAGTAGTAGTAGTAGTAGTAGTAGTAGTAGTAGTAGTAGTAGTAGTAGTAGTAGTAGTAGTAGTAGTAGTAGTAGTAGTAGTAGTAATAGTAGTAGGAGTAGTAGGAGTAGGAGTAGTAGGAGTAGGAGTAGTAGTAGTAGTAGTAGTCGTCGTAGTAGTAAGTGGTGGGTTACGAAGTACCATGAACCTCCAAGTGGTCATCCAATTTTTTGCCTTGGCTCTTGGAATCCCACAGCGCAACTCAGTGCAACTGTTGTTCGGGAATTAAGCATCGTGTTATCACCTCGGTTGAGCTTCACCGGTCCAAAGCATGATCATATCGATCATCTAGATCTACAGGAGGGGGCGGACCTTGAAACACTAAAACGATTTAGGGTTCGTTCCAGACCCTTGAACTTGAAACCACTAACGGGCACTTTTTGCTGGGACTCGGTCTGTTCAGCAGTCCCTTGAGCCTTGTTGGCAGCAGTGAAACGACAAGGAAAAATACTTCTACAGGGGGGCACATGGCTAACCGAAAAGTTTGTTACCCCCTCTCCGAGGAAATGTACACTTCATTGCCTCACTCATCTCATCGCAATTAAGTTCACTCGGATGCAAACTCCTCATCGCTCACTTCGGTCATCTTTTTCCTTTAAACACATTGTGGTGCACACTTCTTTTGTTGGTGTGAAACGTGAAACGAAGAAACTACGCTGCTACTGGTAGCCTCTCTCACTTCTCTTCAAACACATACATAGACGGCTTTTTCAAGACTTCGTCCATAGGTGCGATCTTGCACCTTTAGTTTATTGTCATTTCGGACACTTCTCTTTATCGCTTGTGCCAAAATGGTTTGAACCCAAAAGCACAGTCCGAAACAGAGGACACCAGCAAAGCCCACACCCTTGCAAGTTCCAAACCTTCCTTCTTTTCCATCAGTGGGCGAATCAAGGATCATTATTGAAAGGTCGATGCACATTGTGTCAGTGCATACGCCTAGCAGAAGGCACGCGCATCACCAACTACAAAACACTTCAAAGTCCAGAAGGCACGCGCATCACCAACTACAAAACACTTCAAAGTCCCCATCAACTACAAAACACCTCAAAGCCCCCTTTAAGGGCGAGGAAGCTGTACATCTCTGATATGGCAAGAAGCCAGGATGGCCTGCAGGGAGTTGCGGCCGCTTTAGCGGGCCCTGCCTGGCGGGAGCCACGGCGTCAAACTCGCAAGGCTGAACAAGGGCGGAGGACGCGGGTTGTCATTGCAAACAACTGCACGCGGCGTGCAGGCAGGGAGTCGGAGCGGGCCCTGCACATGCCTTCCCAGGGTGGGCTGGGTGGGACAAATTTTTCGCACAGTGCAATGAGCCAGTGCTGCACTTCAAGGAACACACATAAAGCTGCAACAATACTCGTAATGTTGCATTCACAGAGCATGGCATGTTGCACGCCAAGGCACATCACAACAAGCTGCAGACAGTCACAACAACCCTGCAATCGCTGACCATGGAGACACGCCGACCATGCAACAGGTAAGTGTTGGGCATGTGAAATTCAAGGCATCAAAAATAACTTTTGGCTTCAAACAGCGAACAAACGGCATACCGTATTTTCCATACCACGCGCACGAGGCGGCCGTAGGCCTTTGGAGTCACATTGGCTCAGGTGAAACAGTCGGGGGGACACCTACCCTGTGGCCACAATGGCTCAGGCGAAACAGTCGGTGGAACACCTACCCTATGGTACACAACTACTGCCGGCTCATCTGCAGGCTGGATCACCACGCCTTAGGCCTGGTAACACCACTGGCCGTCACAGCACCCTTCTAGCCTGGAGCACCAAGCTTAGGCCGGGTAACACATGCCAATGGCTCAGCATAGAGGTGCGTATGCAGTTCCACACGTCAACCCAGGCTGGCGCCAGGTGAAATGGTCTGGAGAACCCAAGACCTGACTGACACAGCAAGCTTGGGCCCAAGCCTATTGGTGGGCCAGTGCAGCAAGGTGAGCCCAATCAGAAAGTCGGCCGTTCATGAGGACCATTTGGATTTCCAAGTTTGCCTTGAGCGCATCGGGGAGAACCGCAATGATATCGTTGAGGCAAGGGACCACCGCCTGCCTGCAGAGATACGGCTCCAACGGCGTGACGTCACAGACACATCGAAGGGTCTCGATGAAGCTGCGCAAGCTATACTTGGGAAACCAACTTCCAGCATTGAGCCCTTCGAAGTGCCAATCCGCGAGATCGAAAAAGCACAACATGGGCGTCGCAGCACTGAGTCCTGGTTTAATGCCCAGGTTGGTTTTTGACACATCACGAAGAGCAAAATGACGGCTCAATTGCAAAAGGAGGGCGAAGGCATACAAGGACCACTGAGGGTGGATCTGGTTCCTAGAACCAAAATCCGTGAGGAGCTCGACTTTTTCCACCATCGACCAAGCCACCAAATGGGACCTGAACTCCCATGGTCGCCCAGAGAGCAGCACCTGCAGTGTCGTTGATCCAGCCCCAATGATGGTGGCTGCCACCTTAGGAAGCAAGGCCGAAATCGCCACCTCATCCCCAAACGCCTGCTTCGTCCCAACCTTCAAGACGTAGCCACCGCCAACATCATATCCGAACCTGGTTCTTCCATTGTGGATATACTCCGCAGTGCTGTCCCCCGTGTCATTGAACCACACGTGGATCAGGTCCTTGGGGAGGGCCTGGAAGACACCAGCATAGCCCAGATCGGATTTGAAAGCCACCAATCCTGGCTTGGTATTGCGAGCCCTCTCAGCAATAGCAAAGGCTGCGCCCGCTTCCTGATCCATACCATCAAAGTTCAACGGGGCGGGCAGCATAGGCGCAGCTGGCGGTGCTGGGGAAGGCTCCGGATGCACAATGGGATCAGGCACCATTGGCTCCTCCTCGCTTTCTTCAGAGCAGCTGTCCTGGTCTGGGGCACCCAAAACCGGACCAGCCCCAGGTGCATGGGGATTCTCCCGAAGGACAATTCCAGGAGCTTCATCCCTCTCAGCCTGGTTTGCCACCACGGCTGGGGGGCGGTGCACAGGATTGTACTGCTCAAGCTGAGGATTTTCCCGACGCACGACTCCAGGATTCCTCATCCCCTGAGCCTGGTTATCCACCAAGGGCTCAGGGGGTTGCACGTGTTGTGGCCCAGGCTCAGGGGCTTGCTCATCCTGTGGTTCCACCCTTCTCCGCCTAGGGGGCGGGGGGTTCACACCAGCAGGCGGCGCTCGCATCTTAGGAGCTGCACCTCTAAGCCGAGCTCTCTCGCGCTTGCCCGGCCGGGCTTTTGAGTACGCCTTAGAGGCAGGGGACTTATGCTTCGGCGGCATACTTAGAAGGCAATCTTAGCTTGCTTGAGCCCAGACTGCTTCGATTTTGATTTGGGTTTCGGTTTCGGGAGCACGTTCCGGGCATGTGGTTCCTGACTGGCCGTAGGCTGGAAGAAAGACTTCACACTCCTAACACCAGTGTCAGTCACCTCCTTCGCCTTTTTGGAACTAGCCGTTGCAGCTTTACTCACATTAGGCTTACAGGGTTGGCCGATCCAAGAGGGAATTTTGCGGGCTCCTACCTTGACCATCCTGTCACACTTGGAACAAACCCACGACACCCCCAAATTAACCCACACGTGGTCAGGGTGAGGGCCCCATGGGGGGGGGTCAGCTGGGACTCCAAGGCACGGGTGCGAGGACTTAACGGAGAAGGCATGAATGGGGTCTGTCTGCTGGATATACAGTCCACACTTCGAACATTTAGCAGTCAGATTAGACGGCTTCCGACTGCCTTCAACCCAAGCATGCCCTAGCTGTTGTTTACCAGCAATCAAGTTTTCAAGTTGCAATGACAGCAGAATCACGAACACGAGGCTTCGCCCGAGCTTTCCGCTGGTCCTTATCCGGCCACTGCACCTGAGGGCCCTGGTCCTTGTCATAAGAGAAAAGGGCTGCAGAGCGCTTGGCCAACAAGGTGTTGACCTGAGTGATCACAGCATCCAGCTTCTTGATGCTGGACTCATAGATGGGATCTCTTCTTTGTTCAGCCGCTTCACCCACCAGGCGGTCGACCAGCTCATTGGCCCGCCTGCGCCAGAGTTGGTTGGCACCAAACCGCGCAATGAACTTGGGAACCGAAAGGTGCGACGCAATCCAAGTGGGGCGGATTCTGTGGGAATGCTCCCTGATGGGCTCAAAAAGATCAGCCGAATGGATGGAAGGTTTCCCCTGGATCCTAGGGAGAATCCCTTTACAATCCATTGTGAGGTCAACATCCCCTTGAGTGTGCTCGGCAACAAATTTAACAGCAGCCGCCTCCGCCCGGAACACCGAAAGCGGGGTTTGCAAGGTACCCACCGCCGTTGCAATAACAGCGGGTTCAGCATCATCCAGTCTAAAAGCAATTGCAGCCCACGTGTAGCGATGGAATCGGACATCCTTGGATCGGCCTGGGGAGCCATCGGTGGCGAAATAAACCCCTTCTCCACTGATGAGCTGAGATTCATTCCACGCCCCCGTTGTGCGCACCCATTGGCCATCGTCAGGGTAGGAGGTGGCCGGGGTCATCCCCCTAGACCATAAGGAGGAAATCGGCCACTCTTTTCTGAATCTTTCAAAAGCAGGAGGCTCTGGGAGGTTGGTTAGCCACCAGGAACACTCCCATAGCCCGGATTGCACCCTGCCACACCGCCATGAGCGATGTTTTGTGCTGCGGCGGCAGCCTACCTCTAAGCTTTTTGAGCGGGTGCCAATCGATTCCATTCAAGAGGGGCGAGAGGGAATCCTGCTGGGCAATGCGAGTATGCCTCCACTTATCCGTTTCCAAGGCAAGGGAGCACAGTAGATGATGCATGCCGACCTTAGTGGTGATCTGGCATGTGTCTTCCGGGCATTTCCATGCTGATGCACTGACCGGGGTCCAACCCAAGTCAACCAGGTAACACAGCAGTGCCCCTACTGGACCAGCAGCACGCTTCCAGGGATATTCGGCTTGCTGGTACTCCATCCACATGTCAGGCAGTATGTCCTCAAAATGCTGTTTTTGCCTGTCAGGGATAAAACACAGCAACCGGTGGATCGCTTTGAAGTGCTGGGAGATAATCGTGTAAGCCGGGTCCGGTGTCTTAGGTGCAGCATGGTCGATCGTCAGATCCACCGAACCCAGCGACATGCGCCCCAATTCATGCGCGAAGGAGGCACGCAGCCAGTGCATCCTTTTGGGAGCAAGTCCAACAGACTCATGGCCATACAGGCCCACGGTTTGCACTCCTGCTCTTAAAGCACGGACCCTGACAGGTGTCGACTTAACCCGAAGAGTCGAGAGCCTAGCGCAACGCTTAACCCCCTTACCAAACTTTTTTCCGGTGCACCGGGATACGTCTCCTTCGACCAGCAGTGCAATCAATGCCCAAATCCTTGGCAGCATCCTTGATTTGTTCAGACTCAGGAAGGTACCCTTTTAAGGCAGCCTCGACCTTCCTTGACGAACACACAAAGGCCGTCTTGCCAATGCTGATGGGAAGTCCAGCTTGCTCTAAGCCCCCCACCACAGCTTTGTACAGCTGCGCTGCCCTACGCGCAGCTAGCTCAGGGCTAGCAGCTTCAGTGTCAAAACTAGTGTCATCGACATAAAGGTCAATGGTTTTGGCTAGCCCCGTATTCCATGCCGGGCGTAAAATGCTGTCAAAGGGGATCTTGCTGAGTCCCGGGGCAAAGGGGCAACCAGCTACCAAGCCCTTCGTCGGCTTGATAGGCCCAGAGATACATTTTTCAGCACTGATCCATCTCGGCGCACTGTAAAGTGAGATAGCAGCATTTAAAATGAGCGGGGGTACCTCAAGGGCAAGGGCCTGGGCCACAAAAGTGTGGTGGGAGACATTCTCATAAAAGGCTTTAAGGTCCAAAAGCACCGTTACACCGTGTCTCTTTTTCCGGTACAGGATCTCATGAGACATTTTGCGGCGCAACGCAACATCAAGACTTGATAAGCCCTTCTTAGCGCGGTCCCAGTCTTGGGTGGCGGCATACTTATCAAGCCATGCTTTGAAGACCGGCCATCGGAGTTTGGCCCATAAGCGATATGGCACAGGAGTCAGTCCAATCGGTCGCTCCTCATCCTCAGACTTGTTGATGAGGGCGACAAGAACAAGAGAAAGTTGGGCCGGGAAGCAACCCTGACGTTCCCAAGTGTTAAAGAACGCAGCCAACCTTTCCAATTGCACTGGGGCCAACTTCTGCAGCATCTGTACACTCCAACCGTCAGCACCAATGGCTTTCTGGGGCATTTTCTTAATGGCTTTCTCAACCATAGAGCCAGTAATCGGCTGGAGCGTCCTGGCTTGGGCAACTGCTGCGTGTTGTACCTCGTGCCAATCAATTAAGAGGTTGTCTCCATTTCCTGGCAGAGGCCGCCATACTTCAGCCCAATGTGCCCTTCGCATGTGCGGTCGAATTTCAAGGGGGATGTGTCTGTACGGTCTGTCCGGAATCATATCCTCAGACTTAAGAGCCCTATACAGACCTCTCATACCTCCTTTACACGCCGCTTCCAGCCATTGACTATAGGCCTCTTCACTCTGCTTGACGGCTTCCTTCAGAGCGGCTCGCCCTTGGAGCCCAATGATGTCAAGAGCTTGCGTGTGACTTTGAAGGTCATCTGCATCAAGCAGGCATTGCAAGGCTTGGAGAGTGTGTGGTGGCATGTCGATCCAGTGATCGTTCATCCTTGTTCTCGCCTGAGTGAAGAGCGACATCACTCTGACTTCAGGGTTACTTCCAAGTGCTTTCGAAGTCCAGAGGAGGAAGGACTGCCAAAAGGCCGGCCTCGAGCCTTTCCAAATTTTTTTCCGGGCTGCTGGTTTTAACAAGGGGAAGGAACGTGTCTTCCAGTTTCCACCCACGACCCGCTGCAGCAGAAAAGAGTTGCTCCTCAACCCCAGCACTGAAGGAAGCCCACTCATGGTCAAGTGGTTGGGAGGTATCCCACAAACCACGTGCTTGAGCCTCAGGGAGAAGCAACTCATCAGGGCATGATGCGGTTGGCTCAAGGGAGAATCCCTTCAGTTGCCGGAGAGGCAGGTCCACAACCTCAAGCCTCAGCTCGACGGTAACCGCTGCGTGGGGTTTAAACGGAACGTCCCAACAAGGAGTAAGTGTAATGGCCGGCGCTAGATTGGCCGACGCTAACGCATAATCCAAAGTTCCCCCCGTATTGATTGTGGGGCTTGTCGGCACCGCCAACCGGCCCTTAACCATGGTAGGGTATCCATGTCGTAGGAGTTCATCAGGAGGGCAGTTCCAATCACCAAGAACCAGCCAGGGCGTGCTGGTTTGGCTAAGGAGCGCAGCCAACCTCCTAAGGATCTCCGGGTTAACCCCTCCGGTCGGGCCCACACCGGACTGGAGGTAAAGGTTGACCAGGAGGAGGTCCCAACCCCTAAACCTAATTGAAACCGACACAAACCCTTTGCCATCCAAGAGGAAAGCCGGGCCAGTCGCCGCATTGCGATGGGAAGGAGCCAGGGTGAGGAGGCCCCCTGAAGATCCTCCCTGGGTCGGTGCAGCAGGGCCCGCCCAAGCTTGCTTTCCAACAGATTGGAATTTGTTCACCAGGGCTCTGGTGTCTGATTCAGTGACATGTGTCTCCTGCAAAAGCCAAAAGGACTCATCCCGATCCACCAACCAAGTTCGAATCTCACTTCGATAGGTGGTGATATTGGCCTGACCAATCAGCAGAAGCTTGCTATCTGATCCCTTTTTACAGAAGCCAGCAAGCACAGCGTCAACAGCCTCAATCACACCCAGGGTGTCATCCTTGGATTGCTCAAGGAGCTGGCAGATACGGTTCAAAGTCCATTCCTCTAAAGACCCTGACTCATAATGACCGCCAAAGTCCTCAATCCACTGGAGCAGATCAGCCTCTTTGGCGGGCATATCCATCACAGGTGCCGCCTCAAGGATGTGTAGGAGGGCCTTCCACTCCTGAACCTGTTTTTTGTTGGCTTGACTGGGCCTTGGGTTCGACATGGTGCTCTTCCGGGGCCTGGGACTAGGGGAGGCCTCAAGTGTGTCCAAGGATGACACAACATGATCTGCATCATCGAACACGGCCCTGGAGAAGTACTTGGGCCCAGAGGTCTTCAAGGGGGAAGCCTTGCAAGGGGACGCCGGTTTGAAAGTTCGGCTGGGTGAGACCCAAGCCGGTTCATCGCATCGAGGCGGTTGTTGTGTGGGAAAAGGTGGGAGTGGCATCTCATGGAAAACAGAGGCAAGGGCACTGCCGATCGTACCACCCACAAGGTGGCCAGCAACGAAAACTGGACCAGCCGGGACCCTGAGAAGTTCAGATGCGCACTCATCCTGAGCAAGGAAGGTACAAACCTCCTCACACCAGGTCAAAACGTCACACGCATATTGCAAAGGAACGGAAAATTGCTCAACTGCAAAGTGCTTAGCCCACTTATCGATGAGCATCTGTCCTTGCGAAATTAAAACGGTGCACCAGTCAGCCTGGGAAGCCAACAGCGAGCAAAGGGAAAAGGAGCAACCCAATGGCCCTGGCGCTGGAGAAAAGGAAGGTGCTGCAGGTGTGAGGCCATCACACCGAGGTGGCGGGCCTGCAGTGCCCCCAGCCTCCTCGGTTCGGCCTGTTTCCTACTTATCAAGTTCGCCTTCCTTCCCCTCTTTCTCTTTTGGGGAACGACTTCTTTCCTGACTGTGGTGACCATGTGCAACAGGGGCTGGCCGTTGCGGAGGCCCAAAAGGCCTGGGCGCGGCGTCAGTGCCTAACAGCTCCCCAACACCAAGGCCCGGGGGGGAATCCAGTGCTTCTGCCTTCCTCCGCTTGGAAGCATGCTCGGCCTGGATGGCCTTCCAGGTGGCCTGCTGCTCCTGGGTCAGCTGGACTCCAAGCTGTCCCAAAACCGCTTCCACATCCATAGGATCTGTGCCATCCTCCGTCTTAAGCACTTTCTCATGGTAGTCACCTCCAACTTTCTCAACCTTTTGCTCAGCGTCTTTGATCTCCGCCTGCAAGTTTTGCATCTGCGAAAGCAAGGCAGTGAAGGCAGTCTTTGCATTGTCAATTCGTTGCTGCAGGAGCAACTTGCGATGGCCAAGCTCCCGTAGCTTTCCAACTGCAGTTTTGAAAGCGTCCTGGGTGGCAAGCGCAACTTCGAAAGGCTCCGGGTCCCTCTTGTCAAGCTCGAGCTTGATCTCGGCAGGCAGGGCTTCTTTGTGCTGCATGAGCAGCTTAAGCAGCGGGTCTTCATCTTCAGCAGGCTCCGGTGGGGCCAGCCCATTCTTCTTGAGCACCTGCTGCACTGCTTCAGGCAAAGAACCCCAGTGCTCACCAAGGACCTGCACACCCTTAAAGCCCTTGGATGGCTGGGTTTTTGCAGGCTTGGTCGGCTTAGCAAAAACGGCACGCTTCTGGGACCATTGGTACGACCCCAGGTCCGAATCCTGGGTGTACTGCGACTCTTGCAAAGGCCATGGTTGCCCACATCTGCAAAACGGGCGGTGCTTGATTTTGTGGTTGTAAATCCAAGAGTCGTTGCAAAACTGGCACACAGTGTAGCTTCGCGATCGAGGCATAATCAGCACAGCTGACTGCAAGCTGACACACCAGTGCACTGGCTTTGAAAGCTGGATCTAGGATCTCAACCACACCACAAGACCCAAGGGTTCAGCTGGGACACCCAAGCCTCACCACAAGGGTGTGGATTTTGTGCAGCAGTTCCCACAAAGGTTGCTCAAATGCTATGGCTCGAGAGGCTCAACCTGGGATTGAGAGTCAGGCCTGTTACCCCACAGAGTTCAGGACTAAAGCCTCAGTTCACAGCAAGCTCCCTACCACAACACAGGCAAAAGGCCTTGAGCAGTAAAACTTGAGCCACATACCGTATTTTCACAGGGCATTATTGGAAGCAAGCGATAAAACACGATTCGCTCGCGAACAGTAAGCTTATCGCTTGTGCCAAAATGGTTTGAACCCAAAAGCACAGTCCGAAACAGAGGACACCAGCAAAGCCCACACCCTTGCAAGTTCCAAACCTTCCTTCTTTTCCATCAGTGGGCGAATCAAGGATCATTATTGAAAGGTCGATGCACATTGTGTCAGTGCATACGCCTAGCAGAAGGCACGCGCATCACCAACTACAAAACACTTCAAAGTCCCCTTTTAACCGAACGATAATGGTGGACACCGTCGGGAGCAAGGCAGCTTGGAGACCAGACCCAAGACATCCGCTACCCCAAACGGTGAGTTACTAGTCTTTGAGGCAGTCAACGCTGTTCCGCCTCTAAGGCACTTGCCTTGACTGAACGGGAGCACCAGGCCAAAGGCACGGCCTCGCAAGCACCCGGGGGTGAACCTCCTTACAGGTGTGGCCTTAGGACCGAACCATTGCAGTGCACACAGACCTTAGCCACGCAAGGTCATAACGGGTAATTGCGCGACCACCCGGCGTTGAAAACAGGGGGGGGGGGGAGCGCAGCTGTGTTTCCCCCCCCCTCCCCATGTCAAGATCGCTAGCATCGCAGCTGGGCTCAACTTTTATTCATCGGGGAGGTCCCCACGCATTGGTGCAGAGATGGGCAGAGTCCAAGATGAGATCAAGGCTTTCCGTGCCACGACACTGTTAGAAACCAGTCCAGGGAGCCTTCAATGTTCATTCTTTATGTCGGAGGCTCACACTCCAAGGGCAGCCAGGTACTACTGTGACAGCAGGTAACCAAGAACGCAAACGTTGCCCTGCCCGCCCATCATGGGACGTGTGGGTCACAAGGCACCACCTTTAATGACGAGACCACCACGTTCATTCGAGATTGGGACCAGGATTGCCCTTTCGTAGGCGAGGACCTGTCAACGAACCCCGGACGCTACTGCGTGCTCCAGAGACACTCATGCTGCCAGTGTCCCTATCCGCATCACTCAGGTTAGTATAATCAACATTGCACGGGTCACGAGACTCAAGGGGGGGCACTTGGCCGGGCAACGGGCCAAACACCAAGGTTGCGCAGGCAAGTGGAAATCCAGAAAAACCCACCTCGATTAAAGTGAGTTAAACAACTCAAACATTGGTCCTTACGCAGGCTGGCACACACACCAAGCCTCTAGCGTGGCGGGCCTCTCACTTGACGCAAGGGGGGAGCGAGCCAACTGTATCACCAGGCACAATTTCACACGCTCCAGGGAATCGACCCGTATACGGGGTTAGGGCACATAGTTGGCACAGTCTCAAGCCGATTGGCCGAGCCCCCCCCCCCCCCCCACGGGCTCTCGGGAGACAGTTCGCACCAGATTCAAGGCGGACCCTTACATGCAAACCAACGTTATTATTACAGGCATGACGAAGACGACTATTCCGGGGCAGAGTACGACCCACAAAAATCACTCCAGGCATTGGCACACCAAGACCCATGGTACAGTGATCTCGACCCTGTGGCATCATGCAGGGCACAGCGCATTCCAACGTCCACAGGGTCGCACACTTGAAACCCGACCTTCCATGCATCCATTGTGAATAGAGCAGGAGGGGAGGGGTGACCGAGCTGAGAAAACGCCAGGCTTTTGGTCAAGTAGACCCGTCGAACGTCACCCGCGTATCAAGATTCAGGGAGAGCCCGTCAGGCGTCAGGTCAACGGGACCCGGCGTGGCTACTTAAACAAGGCTCAGGGAGATTCAGCCATGGGCCACTCACACAAGGCACAGGGAGATTCAGCCATGCATCAGGTCAGGAGACCGGCGACCACTAACCATACACTAGAGGCTTAGAGGGGCGACCAAGCCCAATGTAATCCCGGCGTTCGGTCAAGTGGACCCGGTGAACGCCAACCACATACCAAAGATTCAGGGAAAGCACGCCAGGCGTCCGATCCACTAGACCCTGCGGACAACCCAAAACAGGCTCAGGGAGAGCAAGCCATGCGTCAGGTCGGGAGACCCGGCGAGCTCTATCCGGACACTAGAGGCTTAGCTGTTCGGGCGCCCAGATCGTTTAGGAGACCCGGCGATCACCAACCAGACATCAACGGCTCAAAACCTCAGGCGCTCCTATCGGGCGCACTCAAATCAACAACAGCCACCGCACAAGGTAAGAGAAAACAGCAGCCACCGAACAGCAGCCACCGCACAAGTTAACAGAACCTCCCCACTTAACCGCAGTGAGTACCTTGGCAGTGCAATACCAACTGGCCAGCGGGGCCAGTGGAGGATCTCGGAACATGGGAATGGCAGGCCATGGGCCCACAGAGAGTGCGCATGATGTCAGCGGGCCCTGTCAGCGCACCGCGCTGTGTGAGTTATTACAGAGGCCTGCAAAACCCGAAGGCCTGTCGCGACAGCCATCAAGACTGGGTAGGTTCAGACCCACGGACGGCGTTCGCGCGCGACACGAGCACAGCAGCTGCCGTGCGGGAGGCAGGCGCGGGCTCCAGCACATGTTGTGGTAGGTTTAGACACACGGACTGCGTTCGCGCGCGACACGAGCACAGCAGCTGCCGTGTGGGGAGGCAGGCGCGGGCTCCAGCACAGGTCGTGCAAACATTTCACCTGGTTTTTATTGGGACAGCCATGTGGCTCCATCCATGTGTAAGGAGCCATCCCGTATGTTACAAACAATGCAGGATTTGAGACGACTTCCTTGAAAAGACCATTGACCCATCGTTCGTCGCGGACGGAACCAAAGGACTATGGGGGGCAACAGCCTAAGCATTCGACAGTGCTGGTCGAGTGAAGGTCTGCTCGGGCTCCACACGGAGCGTGAGTTCGAGCAAACGGCTCTTCTAGGCCCTCAGGCCAGGCTTACACCTCCTGAGCCATGCTGCATAGCGGTGGCCACACTTGCACGCGTGTTCTTGTCACCACGTCCAGCCATGGTGGCGCTAACAGGCGAGGGGACTGCTTACTTAACTTAAAGCAATGATCTCAAAGAAGGGGGGACCAACCGCCCAAGGTGCGGAGAAACCGGAGGCCTCAGGTCAGTCGCCGAGTCCGCGCACCCACCTAAGTCATGAAAAATGGGCACCAGAGGTACAGGCGCCCAATAGAGCTGGGGGCACAGCACTCCCGCACATGTACGGAATTGCTTGCAGGAGGAGTAACGGAACAGCACAGGAAGACTCCACACACAGAACAGGACAACCGGGCGAAGCGCAACCGGCCGAAGCACCGAAATGAATTCATTTAGGGCTGATTGCAACGCATGTGAATCACCAGTGTTGGTCCAAAGACACTGGAGCAGCCCCTGACTTAAGATTACGTCCAGTGACACACGCAGGCGACCCACCTGTCCAGGACGGTTCTCCATGATGCTGATTGATGATGCCATTTGCAACGGTGCCCGAGGAACTTTTAGCTGTTTAATTGGCCACCCGGGCAAGATCATTTGCGGCCGCGGAGGCGACCGTCAGGCAAGAACACGTCATGGTTATAGCTCACGTTTCTTGGCGGAGGGCACATCGTCCCTGCACTGGGGAGTTTGGAAGCAGGCAGGGGCGAGCATTGAGTGCACTAAGGGAATGGTACCGTGGCGCGCAAGAGCATCGGTCTGCCAGCTTGGTTCTACGGGAACAAGTTGACCGCCTACGCGAGACGCGGTGCACCCAATTTGGAATGCTTGGGTGTTCCAAATATATTGCTTCGTCACAAGTGGGTCTTCAGGTGGAGGTCGATGGCGTCGTCCAGGATGCTAAGGTCGCCTCGGACAGAGCATACAGGGCATGCACTACCACTTTAGACGACATGGCACTGTTTGATACCACATGGCGCTACAAGGCATGATTTCACGAGGAGGCTACTTAATGGTCACAAGCAGTCAGAACTTGAAGAAAGTCATGCGCTCATGATCATCGCTTTGAGCCTGCATCCTTGCATGAGCACCAATAGTCCAATGGACATATCTGGCACCATGGCCATGTTGTATGACAGCCCCTTGGCTCATACAAAGGCACCATGTGCCACTTCATGAGACCCTCATAGCCCATTGGCTGAGCAGACATTGCTCGTCTCATGCTATCTGGAACATGCAAAACATGTGTGAGCACAGGCTCATTTTTCTTTGCGAACTGCATCCTCATCACCAGTCCGGCTCTGCCTTGTTTCAAGGCAACATCACGACGTCCATCGGATATGCGTTGCAGATATCGCAAAACACATTTGCATTGTGGCCGGCTCACGAGCAAGGCCCCGTAACGTGATCACGCGTCAAAGCGGAAAGACAACTGCGGGCATTGAAATTATGAGCACGGAGAAACATTTGGAGCCGCTCGCTAGCGGTGGGACCCACTAACCTGGTTAGGAGGGCCCAGTAGGAGGCCATTTTCCGTGGCCCCAAGAGGCTTGCCTGGGGCACCGGAAGGCAACAATTGGCATCGAGGATGATGAGGGGGAATGTCTCCCCTGCCAAGCAGCTGCGCACCTGTTGCAGGGAGACCTCATCTTGGAAGTTGAAGCCTGGTGGGACCCTAAGGCCCCACTGTTTCTCTCCAAGGTCCCTGCACTTGATGCCTGCAAGGGTGGCCCGGAGCACAATACGACAGCATTGGAGAGCTAGTCGTCTCGCCGAAGTCCAGTCTTCCGTGTGCGCGGTCA